AAAGTATCTTTCAACGTTCTAGTTAAAAAAAAGTTTCTATAATCCTTTTGTAACCCCCTACAACCCCTTGTCACCCCCTGTCACCCCTTGTAACCCCTTGTAACTCCCTTTAACGCCTTGTTACCCCTTTTAACTCCCTGTAACCCCTTGTAACCTTCTGTAACCCCTTGTAACACCCTGTATTCCCATGTCATAGATCGTAAAAATAAATCGTGAAAAAACGATTTTCGAAGTTTTATATTGCAAACAAGCCTTTCTGAGCAACAAAAACATGGGTTTCAAAAACCCACAAAATTGGCATTTTTGCAAAGGGGTTAGTCCATTTTATTGGTCAAAAATTTGAAATTTTGTGAACGTTTCGTTTTATGCAAAATACACCCAGAGAAAGTATTTGGTAACTTTCTCCTGAGAAAACAAGCCTTTCTAGACAATATAAACATGTATTTAAAAAGAAGGCAAAATTGGCACTTTTGCCAAGGGGATAGTCCATGATTTTGGTCAAAAAGTTGAAGTTTCTTCATGTTTTGTGTTTATCAAAAATAGATCGAAAAAAAGCGTTTGCTGACGTTCTAGATAAAAAAGAAGCCTTTAAACACTATAAAAACAACTGTGTGCGAAAAACGCAAAATGAGAATTTTTCCAAAGGGGTTAGTCCATCGTTTTGGTCAAAAATTTTAGGTTTCTTCAACTTTGATTTTTATGCAAAACAGACCAAGAAAAACTATCTTGGAACGTTCTACTTAGAAAAAAGTTTCTATAATACTTTGTAACCTCCTGTAACCCCTTGTCACCCCCTGTCACCCCTTGTAACCCCTTGTAACCCCCTGTAAACCCTTGCAACCCCCTGTATTCCCATGTCATAGATGGTGAAAATAAATCGTGAAAAAACGATTTTCGACGTTTTATATAGCAAACAAGCCCTTCTGAACAACAAAAACATCGGTTTGAAAAACCCACAAAATTGGCATTTTTGCAAGGGGGTTAGTCCATGGTTTTGGTCAAAACTTTGAAATTTTGTGAACGTTTCGTTTTATGCAAAATACACCCAGAAAAAGTATTTGGTGACGTTCTCGTGAGAAAACAAGCCTTTCTAGACAATATAAACATGGATTTAAAAAGAAGGCAAACTTGGCACTTTTGCAAAGGGGATAGTCCATGATTTAGGTCAAAAAGTTGAAGTTTCGTCATGTTTTGTTTTTATCAAAAATAGATCGACAAAAAGTGATTGCTGACGTTTTAGATAAAAATGAAGCCTTTAAAGACTATAAAAACAACTGTGTGCGAAAAACGCAAAATGAGAATTTTTCTAAAGGGGTTAGTCCATCGTTTTGGTCAAAAATTTGAGATCTCTTCAACTTTGATTTTTATGCAAAATAGACCAAGAAAAAGTATCTGGGAACGTTCTAGTTAGAAAAAAGTCTCTATAATTCTTTGTAACCCCCTGTAACCCTTTGTCACCCCCTGTCACCCCTTGTAACCCCTTGTAACCCCCTGGCACCCCTTGTAACCCCTTTTGACCCCCTTAACCCCTTGCAAACCCTTGTAACCCCCTGTATTCCCATGTCATAGATCGTGAAAATAAATCGTCAAAAAACGATTTTCGACGTTTTATATAGCAAACAAGCCTTTCTGAACAACAAAAACATGGGTTTTCAAAACCCACAAAATTGGCATTTTTGCAAACGGCTTAGTCCATGGTTTTGGTCAAAAATTTGAAATTTTGTGAACGTTTCGTTTTATGCCAAATACACCCAGAAAAAGTATTTGGTGACGTTCTCCTGAGAAAACAAGCCTGTCTAGACAATATAAGCATGGATTTAAAAAGAAGGCAAAATTGGCATTTTTGCACAGGGGATAGTCCATGATTTTGGTCAAAAAGTTGAAGTTTCTTCATGTTTTGTGTTTATCAAAAATAGATCGAGAAAAAGTGTTTGCTGACGTTTTAGATAAAAAAGAAGCCTCTAAAGACTATAAAAACAACTGTGTGCGAAAAACGCAAAATTAGAATTTTTCCAAAGGGGATAGTCCACCGTTTTGGTCAAAAATTTGAGATTTCTTCAACTTTGATTTTTATGCAAAACAGACCAAGAAAAACTATCTTGGAACGTTCTACTGAGAAAAAAGTTTCTATAATCCTTTGTAACCCCCTGTAACCCCTTGTCACCCCCTGTCACCCCTTGTAACCCCTTGTAACCCCTTGTAACCCCCTGCAACCCCTTGTAACCCCCTGTAACCCCTTGTAATCCCCTGTAACCCCTTGTAACCCGTTGTAACCCCCTTTAACCCCTTGTAATCCCCTGTAACCTTCTGTAACCCCCTGTATTCCCATGTCATAGATCGTGAAAATAAATCGTGAAAAAACGATTTTCGACGTTTTATATAGCAAACAAGCCCTTCTGAACAACAAAAACATCGGTTTGAAAAACCCACAAAATTGGCATTTTTGCAAGGGGGTTAGTCCATGGTTTTGGTCAAAAATTTGTATTTTTGTAAACGATTCGTTTTATGCAGAATACACCCAGAAAAAGTATTTGGTGACGTTCTCGTTAGAAAAGAAGCCTTTCTAGACAATATAAACATGGATTTAAAAAGAAGGAAAAACTGGCATTTTCGCAAAGGGGATAGTCCATGATTTTGGTCAAAAAGTTGAAGTTTCTTCATGTTTTGTGTTTATCAAAAATAGATCGAGAAAAAGTGTTTGCTTACGTTCTAGATAAAAAAGAAGCCTTTAAAGACTATAAAAACAACTTTGTGCGAAAAATGCAAAATGAGAATTTTTCCAAAGGGGTTAGTCCATCGTTTTGGTCAAAAATTTGAGATCTCTTTAACTTTGATTTTTATGCAAAATCGACCGATAAAAAGTATCTGGGAAGGTTCTTGTTAGAAAAAAGTTTCTATAATCCTTTGTAACCCCCTGTAACCCCTTGTCACCCCCTGTCACCCCTTGTAACCCCTTGTACCCCCCTGTAACCCCTTGTAAGCCGTTGTAACCCCCTGTATTCCCATGTCTTAGTTTGTGAAAATAAATCGTGAAAAAACGATTTTCGACGTTTTGTATAGGAAACAAGCCTTTCTGAACAACAAAAACATCGGTTTGAAAAACCCACAAAATTGGCATTTTTGCAAAGGGCTTAGTCCATGGTTTTGGTCAAAAATTTGAAATTTTGTGAACGTTTCGTTTTATGCAAAATACACCCAGAAAAAGTATTTGGTGACGTTCTCGTTAGAAAACAAGCCTTTCTATACAATATAAACATGGATTTAAAAAGAAGGCGAAATTGGCATTTTTTGCAAAGGGGATAGTCCGTGATTTTGGTCAAAAAGTTGAAGTTTCGTCATGTTTTGTGTTTATGAAAAATAGATCGAGAAAAAGTGTTTGCTGACGTTCTAGATAAAAAAGAAGCCTTTAAAGACTATAAAAGCAACTGTTTATTAAAAACGCAAACTTGGGGGTTTTGGAAAAAATGCCAATTTTGTGGGTTTTTTTTAACTGATGTTTTCATTGTCTAGAAAGGCTTGTTTGCTATATAAAACGTCGAAAATCGTTTTTTCACGATTTATTTTCACGATCTATTACATGGCAATACAGGGGGTTACCAGGGGTTACAAGGGGTTACAGAGGGTTACCAAGGATTCTAGAAACTTTTTTCTAACTGGAATGTTCTCAGATACTTTTTTTAGGTCTATTTTGCATAAAAATCAAAGTTGAAGAAATCTCAAATTTTTAACCAAAACGATGGACTAACCCCTTTGGAAAAATTCCAAGTTTGCGTTTTTAATAAACAGTTGTTCTTATAGTCTTTAAAAGCGTCTTTTCTATCTAGAACGTCAGCAAACACTTTTTCTCCATCTATTTTTGATAAACACAAAAGATGAAAAAACTTGGACTATCCCCTTTGGAAAAAAGCTAATTTTGCGTTCTTTTTAAATCCATGTTTATATTGTCTAGAAAGGCTTGTTTCGTAACGAGAACGTCACCAAATACTTTTTCTGGGTGTATTTTGCATAAAAGAAAACGTTGAGAAAATTTCAAATTTTTGACCGAAACCATGGACTAACCCCTTTGGAAAAATGCCAATTTTGTGGGTTTTTGAAACTGTTAAGTTTCGTATATGCCACTGTCTATACAAGACGGTACAAATGCTGTCAAGGGCATTTTAAGGGGTTACAAGGGTTAAGAAGTTGTAGGGGTTACAGGTAATTACAAGGGATTACAGAGGGTTACAGGGAGTTAGAGAAGGTTATTTTGCTGTGAAAGAAAAAGTGACACTATTTTTTAAATCTTTTTATTGACACTAATTGAATTCTAGTTCCAGTACGGACTGTGTTTAAGTATTGCTTGAAACTCTTTTCTTCCTTTTGTCGTAACGGATGGCGAGGACGGCATATGGGCTGAAACTTGAAAAACGTTGGGCCACGTTTTGTTCCCAATCCCATCCCACCCACTTGGTGTATGTCAGTTACACCATTTCCTCTGTTTCTTTTCCGCCCTACCATTCCCAGCTTTTGATGGGCCACCCCCCCCCCCCCCCCCCACCGCCCCAAAGCTTGGATTTTCCACCTGTCGCAGTAGATTGGAGAATTTGTTAGGGCATGGTGGCTAACAGTTCTGGATGGCAAGAAAACGAAAACGTCAAGTAAAAAGTGAATTCGCATTGTTTCAAACTTCATCAATCTTATTTAATTTCACTCAGTTTGTAAGGTTGTGTTCACCTACATAAAAAGAGCGTGTGAAATTAGGAAGTGTCACCTCGCAGTTGTGCAACGACGGCTAAGAAATGTACTCTGAAAAAAGCGTGATGTACGTGCATAGTTGTTGTTTTTCAACACAGGCCGACTGCTTGTTTGCCGTTTTCGTTACTTTTAAGTTACCAATTTTTGCGATCCAGAAATTTTGCCACCATGATAACGTAAGGTCACACTGCTCCTCTCTATTTACAATACAGGGACGAATATTTGGTTTCAAATGATTAAATTTTCCTCACTGTTTCTCAATGTAGCTCCTGGTCTTTAGAACAGCCATCCTTGAAGCGGTTAAAACGCTTTTGGAAGCGAGGGAAAAGCATCCGAAAGAAATCTCCATGCGCCATCAAGAAGGTAAGAATAACTTAAACAATCCCTTATTTAAAGACTGAAGTAATCTGGCCTAGTTATTATTGTACTACTCGCGTTACCTTCTCCATTGGATGGTCTTTGTTTTACAGAGTTTAAAACTCAATCATATGGGGCGAATTCATGAGACGGGAAGCTTTCGTGGTGATTTTGTTCTTTTCTGTAAGTCTAGTGGTAGGAACTTTACTTTCGTGGAGAAGATTTTTTAAAGGGTATCGCATTTGGGAGCTTATGTAACGACGACGCCGAACAGTATTGTACATAGGTCACGCTTTTTGGTACATTTCTTTAAGCTACAACGGATGCAACAACTCCCAACATTGTTTTGTCGTGCCCAGATTAGCGTTTTGTTAGTAAATACATTGTTGTTGGTGGTGTAGTTCATTGTTGAGCCAACATTGTTGGGCCAACAATGTTGGAATTTGTTGCCTCCGTTTGTACGTAGCTAAAAGTTTTTTTTTTTCAAACTTTGCGCAACAACTCCTACCAACATTCAACAGCGTGTGCAAACGGACATGTAAGATTCAACAATTTTGAGCCCGCTTACACGGGGCTTTACTGTCGACGTGAAACGTTCCTGTTTTCATGTTCTTTTTATTATATGTTTTTCAAAGAGTTTCTACTGTATGTGATAAATTTGTTTGAAATGCTACATCTTGTTGTTTTTTGACAGTGTTTGGCCGTGCTTTCAAGCTATTCCAGTATGATGTGTCGAGTGCCCCAGTGTCTGTTCATTTACCAGTGTCAAGATTTCTTGCAGGTCAGTTTATATTAGAGACCTTTAGATTCTATGACGAGGACGACTACGAGGTATTCTCAGTGCTAAGTAGAGCTGGCGCGTTAACCAGCGTCATTTTGGCGGGAGAACGAGATAGCCATCGTCATTCTACTACGAGTTGAGGCGAGAATCTCGTAGTGGCGGAAGCAAGTTATCGAATCTCGGAACTTTTATCATTTTGCGATTGGGAGACGGCTAAACTTCCTTCAATTAAGATGGTAGTGCCAACTTTTCTGGTGAAAAAAGTGCAGCAATAAAGCTTTGCGCGGTGTCTATTTTTTGCGTATACGCAAAAAAACTTAAGGTCTGATCGCCCTCTCGTAGTTGTTATCGTCCTCGAATCTCAAGGTCACTGTTACATGTATATTCGTGTGGGTGTAACGAGTCAAACATTCGGCCCTCTTCAGACACACTGATTTGTTTTTAACACTCCCTTGAACCATAAAGCCGGATTTCGTGAGGTTTCACGAACACAAGAAAAGGTTCCTTTTCTTTACTGAAGCAAAGTGAGACTTTCTACATTTCGCTCGCCATTGTTGTGTACTATCGCTGTATTACTAATACACACGGTTGTAAGCTCTTGGATTTCACAGTAACTAAAGATTCCGTTACCGTGTTGTTACTGTGGTCTTAAAATAACGGAACCAAACAATAGTTTCTCAGCGCCATTTTTAGTCTTAGGGATCCATTTACAGAAATTCATTATTTTTCCACACAGATACTTAACTGGTAGAGCAATTCTTTAGTTAAGACTCGTATACCAAACTGAAATGGGTAGTATCTATCAGTTCCATCTTGAATCATTCCCAAAAAGCATTATACATTACTAGTTTACGGCTGCCTTCCAGCGCTGAGATAAAAGAAAAAATGTATGACTTTGAAAAATTGAAAACATTTAGGGGATGAGTTCCCAGGAATTTTCATGGAACCAAAATATTGTTACTGATGGTTTCTCGTGATGTCTGGGCACAGAACCGAAAAGTTGTTTTCCATGGGAATTGAAATCCTAGCGCTTGGGGTTGTCACTAAGATTTTGAGTCGTCGGGTAAATACTGCAAGTAGGCGGAAACCAAACAGCTAGGAGTCTCTTTTGGTGCTATGTTTCCTCTGTTTCCCTTTGAAAGTAGCCGGGGGCCACCTTCATAGTACCCCGGGGGAAATCCCCCCCCCCCCCCCCCTTTAAATGACAGCCCTGGATACATGTCAGTTACTTTGCGTTTCAGTAAATGCTGGGTTTCCTTTTAGGTCTTCTGATATCCTGTGACAAGTATGATCTAACCTTCTGGGGACTTCTTGGATTTGAAACTGACGTAAGGCTGTTATAATTACATAAGTGGCATTTTGATTTCTGTTGCCGGGTGGTTCTGACTTTTGAGTCCGTGGACGAAATCCTTTTCCTAAGCCTTTCAAATTAAACCTCTTCAGCAGTACTATTTAGTAAGTAATAACTTTATTTAACGAGGGTAAAGACATTGATTACTGGTCACCCAGTAGTTTTCATAATGGCCCTCCCTTTATTTGGTTTGTAGTCCTAACTTTTGACTCAGTGGATGGAATTCTATGGTGTGACCATTCAATTGAAACCTCTTCAGCAGTACTTTCACATAGTACTATTTATTCAGTATGTAGTTCTAACTTTTAAGTCTGTGGGTGAAATCCTATGATGTTACCATTCACGTGAAACCTCTTCAGCAGTACTTTCACGTGGTACTATTCATGCAGTATGTAGTTCTAACTTTTGAGTCTCTGGATGAAATCCTGTGATGTGACCATTCAAATGAAACCTCTTCAGCAGTACTTTCACATGGTACTATTTATTTAGTATGTAGTTCTAACTTTTAAGTCTGTGGATGAAATCCTATGGTATTACCATTCAAGTGAAACCTCTTCAGCAGTACTTTCATATGGTGCTATTTATCAAGTAGTTCTATCACTCCATGTGAGGGATTCCAGAATCTGGGAAAATTTTGCCTGTGGAATCCGGAATCCTAGGGCGAAGTTCAAACTTTTGAGTCTGTGGACGAAATACTGTGGTGTGACCACAGTAGCAGTACATCTCGTGAACCTCAAATAAAAGGCTTGATCGTAGGCTGACTTATATCGAGTCTAATTATGTATGTTTTGCTTTATTTATTTATGCTCAGGATGACAGACTGAAGTTATTTCTAATGGAGTACCCGCTGCGTACTCTTGCCATGGTTGCTCAAGTTCAAGCTGGGATGTGGAGAAGGAATGGTTATGCGGTCATGAATCAGGTATACAGATTTAAGAAATCTATCTTCTTGTGTCAATTGTTGAATTTTTCACTGAAAGATAGGTTGAAGCCCCAAAAAGAAAGAAATATCTTAATTGCCAGACTCTCCAGTTTCCAGTCTTGAAATGCACCAACTTTCAGCGCTTTTGAATTTCAAACTGGTCCAAAATTACCGTCAAAATAGTTTCCCGAACATCAGTTCTAAAAATAAATACTTAGACTATACCTATATGAATAAATAGATAAATAGAGAGAGAAAATTTGACTTCTTGTGCACTTTATTGATTGAATTTCATCCTTAACGTCCTTAAAGTCACTCTAATTTATTTATAACTTCGTTTTCTAACCAGGTGTATCACTATTTCAATGTCAAATGTCGGTCCGTCATGTTTGACAAGGACGTTATAATGCTTCAGGTAAATACCAGATTTCTTCTAATACGTATTGGTAGTTTAGCGATACTCTTTTAATCATTACGAGTTTTGATGTGTTTTCTGTCCTAATTTATAACAAATAACGCTGTGACAGCAATTTAGACTTGTTACAAGTTGATCTCTCATAAGTTGTAAGTAAGTTGTAAGTAAGCGAGGCGAGCTTCAATGCATGAGGTCGCGCAGCGACCGAGCGAGCGAGGAAGTCTCGAGGTTGACTTGTATCGCCTAAAGGGATTTAAAATGGCGTAACCAACCAGGAAAAACTTTTAGAAAGTCTAACAGCAATTCAACTGAGGCGAAAGCGAGTTATAGGCTGGCCTCGTAATATGCGAGAGGAAGTAGGATCTGGGTGATTTAGATTGGGCAAAAGTTTTTTCAAGGCCACTACTGTGATCGGTTTTTTGTGAATTTTGGTCTGCAGTGTAAATGTGAGACTATCAACTAGACAAACCTCTGATAGAAGGAGAAGTTGTACTTTTTACATTTGATCAATTTTTAGGTTGTGGCATCTTTTCTTGATAGTGATTACTTCCTGGTAGCCCTTCTTGACAGGTTTGGACTTGTCAACTGGTCCATGTAAGTTGTATTTAGTCGTAGCTAAATAAAGATTTTATGCCGATCGTGAATTATTTGTGGCCACCAGCCATCGGCGAGAGAAACCGTGACTCACTGGTGTCAGTGATCGTAGATTTGGCCATTTTGAGGTTAGCGTGCGAATAAAACGGTTTGTCCCCCCCCCCCCCCCCCCCAACCCTAGCGTCCCAAGTGGTGAGCAGTGAAGAGAGACCAAACAAAACTAAACTAACCTTATTTCAAAAGGATGACACGTGACAGTTCCAATAATTCATAACCCTGTGGTCCTCTTAGAGCCACCAGCTTACTGGAGACACTTTCCCCATCGGATTGGAATTTGAAATGTTGGTTTTTGTCTTTTGAGGAAAGGGGAACACTGGAGAACCCGGAGAGAAACCTCTCGGAGAAAGGGAGAAAACCAGCAGCAAACTCAACCCAGGGACTAGTTGCATCGACTCCGGTACTCGACCCCAGGCCACATTGGTGGTGGCATGCGAGTGCTTCATCCACTGTGGTATTCGCACTCCCCACCCTCACAGCCAGCCCCCACTCCCCATCCCCCCCACTCCCCCCCCACCCCCTCCCCACCCCCACTCCCTCTTTAAACGATAAATAGATAATATTGAATACAAACACGAAAAATCATACCTTGCTGACATATGACTGAATTTGCCATTCCTACACAGGCCTAGTTTTGATGATAGCAGATTTGACCAGGTAAAACTCATTTCTGTGCGCTGATGTGATAACTCATTTGTTTCACTTTCTCTTTGTCCGATTCAGTGCTTCAGAATCTATGCTACTATTGCTGTTGTAAAGCAATAATCGTTTGTTGTTTCATTTCAGGAGAAACTTAACCAGAAGTTGACCATCGCAGAATCCTTTTTTTCTCTGCTCATAGCCATTGTAGGTAAGGCGGTGTCAAGTGTTAACAGGCGCTTAAGAAAAGACCAGCTGAAAGACGTTTTTTGCGACTCACGTCAGCCGGAAGTAAGTAAAGAATGCAAAAAGTCAGCTTCCAGTTAGCATGGGTCTTTTCTTAAGCTCACTAACCTCTCAACACAGAGCGGTGCTCAATGATTTTGCGTCGCTACTCTTCACGCTTTCTGTGATCACATGTCTGGATCCAACAAGACCAGGTTGGTTGAGATTCTGTGAACGAGGGGTATGCGTTTGTGAACAATGCAACCGAAAAATGTTTGTTTTGAGAACACTTTTGGAAGGAACAAGTTGGGGGCCTTGTGTGGGAACATAATTATTTTAAGCGGCTCAATTCTAAACGCATTTTATTAGCAAGGTGGCGTTTGTTTTTGTGAAATTTAGGTGAACGGTATTTCCCTGGTGTTGGGCGCGTGTCAGCGGATGAATTTATGAGAAGGGAGATCATTCACAAGCTATGTCTCAAACCCATGACGCATAGCGAGCTCGTCAAGGCTTTGCCGCTAGACAATGAACTAGAGGACGAGGAAGGAGTGGATGGCATCATTGAATCTGTTTCGACGTTCAAGTAAGTAATCTCAGATCATTTATTGTTCAGTATACTTACTATACAATGAGTCGTCTCTTGAGGAAAGTACCCCTAATGTAAAGGGCTTCAAGGGGGTTAAAGTTCGATTTGTCAGTACCTGCAATGTTGGACAGAGTATATGGAAAAGCAAACCCCTTCCTTTGGAAATCAAGGATGAAACCGTATGAAGGCCGAAGGGCGCCATTATCTTATCTTTGATTTGAGAGGGGGGAGTTGCCTTGTTTTTTTGTTTATGCGTCATTGTCTTACCCTTGATTGGAGAGGAGATCTGAATGTTCCGTTTATTCTGTCCATGTAGTCATCAGCTCTGGGGTTAAAATCAATTTTGTGTCGTTACCGGTCTAATAAATTCAAATGTAGCGGTTACAATAAGACATTGGATGTTAGCTTTTAAATGAGGGACGCCTCCCTTGTATCCTCGTGACGTTGGATGATCCTTACGTGACGTAACGCGTTACTGAAACCCAATCAATCTGCCAGTGATATGACCTGCGATGAATCGGACAGGTAGGACTAAAATCTTCAATGGACTTAAAAGCCTAACTTTATTCAAACCTCGGGGAGGGGGAGGAGCATAGAAAGTGTCCGTATTAAGGGGCTTGAATTTAGACAAAATGTGACTTCTTACTTTCCCCAGGGACAAGGAAAACTTTCTGTAATAAAGAGGTGTCCATATTAAGCGGGGTTCTACTGTTTCTACCTTCCAAATCTTATACAGCCGAACCCCTTAATGCGGACACCTCTTTATTACGGACAGTTTTCCTTGTCCCTTGGGAAAGGAAGCCCTCGTAGTTTTTCTAAATTCAACCCGCTTAATACGGACACTTTCTATGGCCCCCTCTTTGTCCGTATTAACGGGGTTTGACTGTATTTCTTAGTAAATACAAGAGTTGATGACACATAATCAATTACAAGTAGATGCATTGTGTGGGTCCATAACTGATTTTAAGCGTTATTTGATTAAAGGAAACCTGGAGTTACAGGTAAAGGCCTGTACGATCTGAAACCAGAGTGCCTCAAAGAGTACAACCCATTTTTCTATCACTACACGCGGATAGAGCAGTCCAAGGTGAAACATTTGTACTTGTTGCCGTTAGGCTGTAATTTCTCTCATTTCTTGGGATAGTCGATATGTGTGATAACACGGGCGAGAGGGCGATTTACAGACTAGTTTCGCCCTATTACAAGCGCACCCATAGTCTCTCTGGAAAATAAAACTTTTCAAATGCTTTATTCTTTTGATTTTTAATATAGCTTTTTACGGAGGACGACGCAGTCAGCCATCGTCATAAATTCGGTAGCGCATTCCTTTCGTATTTTTCTAGGGAGTGCAAAATTCCCTTCTTTTTTAAACTTTTTAACCCTGTGTCCCGTGTGTCCACTTGTGTCCCCTTGTGTCCCTTGTGTCTCCTGTGTCCCTTGTGTTCTTTGTGTCCCCTGTGTCCCCAGTCTCCTTTTGGGTCCCCTGTGTCACCTTGTGTCCCCTTGTGTTTCGTGTCCCTTGTGTCCCCTGTGTTCCTTGTGTCTCCTTGTGTCCCCTGTGTCCCGTGTCCCCTTGTGTTCCCTGTTTCCCCTTGTTTCCCCTGTTTCCCCTGTGTTCCTTGTGTCCCCTTGTGTCCCCTGAGTCCCCTTGTGTCCCCTGTGTCATGTGTCCTCTTGTGTTCCCTTGTGTCCTCTTGTGTCCCTTGTGTCCCCTTGTGTGCCCTGTGTCACTTGTGTCCTTTTGTGTCCCTTGTGTCCCCTGTGTACCTTGTGTCCCGTTGTGTCCCCTGTGTCCCCTGTGTCCTTTTGTGTCCCCTGTGTCCCGTTGTGTCCCCGGTGTCCCTGTGTCCCTTTATGTCCCCTGCGTCCCGTTGTGTCCTGTTGTGTCCCTCGCGTTCCCTTGTGTCCCTTGTGTCCCCTTGTTTCTCCACGTCTCCTCTGTGTCACTTGTGTCCCTAGTGTCTTTTGTGCCCCCTTGTGTTTCTTGTGTCCCTTGTGTCCACTTGTGTCCCCTTTTCCATTTAAAAGAAAGGAAATGTTCGGCGGTGTTACCCTTATTTGTCATATGGCGGGAAAACTTTGATGGGTTTCATTGCTTTTATATGACAAGAAGCATTTTTTTACGCACGCTCAGGAGGTCAAATGATGTGACTTTTCATGAAAATGAAAAATCAAAACACAAAGTTCTGCTTGACTTGGTTAGGAAATAATTTGTTTAATTTTTGATCATCAACAAACAGCTCACTGATTTATTAATTTGGGCGACCAAACAGTGTCTGGGAATCCGAAGGGCTCCTCGAAAATTATATTTGAGCGACCATCTAGGCAGCCCAGGTAAAATGCTTGGGAAGGGCTTGGGTAATGTAATGTAATGTAATGTAACGGAACGGAACGGAACTGAACGTAACGTAACGTAATGTAACTCATCTTCTGGTATATTTAACAGAACATATCCGTCTCTCTTGCACACATTTGTTGTTGATACACTGCTCAACTTGCCAATGCCATTCGACATAATTCTTACTTACCCCAACACCTTCCGCGTAAACGCCCTCAGGCGTCTTCTTGTCCTTTTTTTTTTGGGAAGGGGGAGATTTACGCCAGAAGAGGGTATTCTTTAAAAATTTCATCATTGTTTTAGAAAAAAAATTATTTTTTACTTTTTTTGATAGACAGAGGAGCATATACGAAAGAAGATGACAAACGAAGGTATAACCATGTCCATAAGCTAATCGTACATCTGAAGTATTCTTCTGTAGCGTGTAATTGGGTGGTCACACTTTAGCAAGACCCTATCTGCAGTCTCAGAAGTTAGAAGTAAATAAAGAGCTTAGCTTTTATTTATTCTAAAGGGTTTCATTCACAGACTGAAGAGTAAGAATCACTTTTTACACCCACAATCGGCGACAGAGTTGTTGAGACATTGTATTCAAATAGAGTAGGGGTGGGGATTTTTTTGTTCTCTGAAGTTCCCCTCTCCCCTCCATTCAAAGTTGGGGTGTTTGTTATTTTTTATAGGTAGCTTGAACAGCGGCACAACATTGCATTGTTTTCCCCTTTTGAAGTCTGTAAAACGTCAGAAAGCCCCTTTAGGGCGAAGTGACTCAACTAATTTTGTCGCCCATTGCAGGTACAATACACTGAAACAACCTCTTGCAAGACCATTCGTTCCTGCTCTGTAGAACCTTTCTCTACATTGTTCACGCTGTTACACCTTCATTGAAACTTTAAACCGTTCGGGCTAAGTGAGAGACTGGGTCCACGTCGCCTCGCCTGTTTTAGTGCACGAATCAGTTTTGACCCAGTTTCTCCGCTCAACTTTGTAATAGCCAATCAAAGACGCGATAGAATCCCTAAAACAGTCCCATCATGCAATTCGGCACAACACCGACCCAGTCTCTGAACAACTACAAAACGGCTGTAAGGAAGATACTGTGCAACGTTTTTACAAGGCGTCACCAATGGTCACTATTTTGAGGTTTACCCTCAATAGTTAACCTTGCAACTTCTACAGCGTAATAAAAAATACCTATATAAGGCTAAGTAACAATCATTTTCATTCAGGGAGTCCAATTTATTAATCGTTAGGCACATTTTGCAAAGACAACGTGACGTCAAATAAGAAGCAAAAACGCGCGGAAAGGACTGAAAACGATTTACGGTTCTCAGTTTACCACTCGGCCTTTGGTCAATTCTAATTTAACGTGCGCGCGTTCTTTGTTGTCGACGCGCGGTAACCGATTTCTTTGGCTAAATACGATTGTTTATAGGAGCGAAAGAGTTCACATTTTGCATGATATTTTGCAGTTGGTCCCCCACCTATCCCCCCTGAGTTCTGTGAGCCTTTCAGTAAGGTGTTGAAGCTGATGTGCTGTAAGACGCTAGTGGGTCTGATGAATACCCTTGTCAGTCGTGTCAACAAACCACACCCAAGGGCTGTTACGGATTTACTGTTTCAACAGGTACGTTGTTTTCTGTCCTAAAACAGGCGTTTTTGCTTTGCGATACGCATGCGCCTAGCGGGCAACCATAAGGCTTCAAGCATCAGTCAGTCCTTTCCTACCATATTTACTCTAAAGACCGCCGCCGTCAAATAAGCCGCGGCTTCACCCTTCAGACAAATTTTGCAACACAAAATGATTCCTGAGGCTTCGGAAGGTCAAATTTTAAATCTGATGGCTGTCAAGCAGAAGCCCATCCAGTTAACAGTTCAACCTAGTTTCGCGCTACTTCATTTCTCTCTTTATCTGATTTCTTACTAGGTTCTTCATTTGGTATGCCTTGCTCTTCATGAAGAAAAACGAAAAAATATGACTGGAAATAATAGTGAATTTAACTTCATTACCATGGCAACCTCGACGGAAGGTAATGGGAATATTTTTTCAAATTATTATTGTTCACAAGTTTTGTTTTCTTGGTGTGTGATGATGACAGACTCCTATTTAAAATCTCTCCTACACACTCTCTGATGTACGTAGGTCTCTCATTGCACTTCGATTTATTTAAAGGATAGAGAGTTTTAACCGCGGCAAGACTAGTTCAGTCAGTAGAGCGCTTGACTGCAGACCGTGTGGTCGCGGGCTCGATCCATGGGGCCAGACCAATACACAGGGCCTCAAAACAACTAAGAAATGAGGGTATTTCTTTCACCTTGCAAATGGCTAGAACTTCGTGTGGTAAGGAAAAAAAAACAAGTGTATATACAAGAGTAGAAGAGGTTTGAATGACTGAATTTCCTCTTGTACTGACTTTGGATAATATCTTTCGTTATTTTGACACATTTAGGTCAACCACAGAGTCTCCTAAAATCGCTGGAGGATATTCACGACATCGAGTGTCCAGACATGTGCAAAGAGCATGTCTCACAGCTGGACTGGATTATTAAGGTAGAAAGAGTTGTTGAATGCCGCCGGACCTGGTTGTTTAAAAATTGTAAAGCGCTAGGCAGTGTATAAGTATTATGGCATACAACTCTGCTAAACGCACTTGGTGACGGCAATTTGTGTTTTGAGTTCTGATCGGATAATTGTCTTTCCCGCGCTTGGTGTCCGCTACGTGTGTGAGTTCTGATTACTTCGTTAGACTATCTTTATCAGTTTTGGTTCGCTCAAGTTTTGCTTTTGCAGCACTGATCTTGAAACTCGCCTAATATGGGTGCTTAAAGAAGGTGACGCTCCCCTTTTAATTGTATTTCTGTAGACGTTTCACAAAGAGCTCGCTGCACGAGACATAACGCCACGAGGGGTAGGTGCTGCGCGCCCCTCCCTGGCGAGGAGTGTTTCACAGGAGGAGGAAAAAGCAAGAAGGGCGAAGCTTGCACAAGAGAGACGCGCTAAAGTCATGGCTCAGATGTCTGCTTTACAGAAAGTGTTTATCAAGGAAAATGCCCAGTTACTGGCGTCAATGGAGGCAGAAGAGTACGATTCGATTCTCTTAACATTTTCTCCCCACAGTCAGTGCACGTTTGTTTGTTGTTTGAGATTTGCCGAAACTGTTGTCCAAATTTTACCGTACCTACAGATCTGTATCAAAACTTTTACTGATTTAAGATGAAATCATACATTCTTATCGTAATTTCAAGTGAAGTTTAAGTTTAAAGTTTTTTGTTAATCTCTATTGCCTTAGTTTCAACACTTCTGAGCCACACGTGGAAACCAGTGAACCCAGCCTAGAAGAGCCAGTTGTGCTAGGTGTTCAGCGGTGTCGGCAAGATGTACGCGCACCTCGCTATGTGACCGAACCTTGTATTCTGTGTCAAGAACAACAAGAGGTACGTTGCAAAGAAGAGAAACCCGGGGATGCATATTTGATTATTTTAAGTGACCCTTGTAACATTTCAGTCTTCCACAAGACCGCCCTTTGTGTTGAACTGTTATCGCCGGAAATTCTACAATCGTACCCGACTTAAGATCGAAATTCCCTTCTCGTTTGGTTTACTTGCAGGTCAACAGCGATGGTCGCGCCGTAGTCATGGCTTCTTTTGTCCAGCGGTCGACTGTTATGTCTCGCTCCCGCGGGAAGATGTTTGAGACCGGGGACGAAGTCGACCCGCTGCACACCCCGAGGGACCTCTACTGGGGCGTTCATGTCAACAGCTGTGGTCACATGATGCATAGTGATTGTTGGCAGGGATTTTACAAGTCTGTCACGGTGAAAGAACGAAGGGCTTTGCGAATGGGGCAGCATTTTACTGTGGATATCAGTAAGGGGGAGTATTTGTGTCCGCTTTGCGGATGTATCAGCAACACAGTCCTACCAGTCCTGCCTTCCCTGTTTAACGGACAGGGAGAGGGGTAAGGAAATATTTGTGTCAAGAAGATAAGTACTATGCCTGATGGTATCTTTGTAAGTTCCACTTGTAACGGAAACTGCCCACCTACCCCTCCCCTAAGTCAACGTTAACGCTCGCTCTTCACTTAGGAGAAAATGTTGGCTTAGGAGAGGGGTAGGTGTTCAGTTTCCCAGAGACTGATCTGAGGGCTTATTTGTTACAATTTGCAGCTGTGTCGAAGAGGTCACCGTCGCAGAATTTCTTAGCAGCATGCAGGACGTTGTCTCTTCAAATTTCAGCTTGTTTTCAGAAGAAGATGAAAAGAAAGGGAAAAAAGGTGCACTAAACTTTTCTTTTAAAGCCCACTGAATCGTTACTAAAGCTTGCGTTACTTTCCTTTGGAGCTACTCGAAATACTGGCCTTTCGACGCATTAGGAATTGTCTACGCGATGCATAGGAAATGTGGGTAGATACAATCAAAGTGAGATTAACTTTGAGACGAGGCTTCTGAGTCAGGAGTTGCATCCCAGATGAGCAGGCTGCATGTAGGGGGTTAGCGATTGTAGAATGTAATCTCGTCCTGCCACGAGTGCTCAAGAAGTGGTCAGAGATTTTAGAATGCTCGAATGCTCAGTTTAACTCAAGAGCCAGTCTCTGTAAGATCCTCATATCGAGTTTTGCCCACGAAATGGATTTCGCTCATAATTTTTCTGTAGACTTCTTTTAATAAGTATATAACAAATATGAAACCAGATTGGAGAAATTCGCTTCTGTAAATTTTTTTTAACGAATTTTCTTTCGGCGCCACACAAGGACCTGAGATGCTTGTGAAATATGCAAATTTTGTCAAAATTGAACCGCTTGCTTCAGATAAAAGAGTGCGACCCAAAGCTTCCAATTTACTAGTTGATTTAATTGAGCCTTTATCTTTAAAATAATACGGGTCAGAATCATCAACACTTTTTCGTTTAGAAAATCTGAGGAAACACGCTTAGCCCCTTTGACCCACTTAGCGAAACACACGATTTTAGCCAAATTCAGTGGATTAAATCTCAAAAGTGGCTCACACTTACAGACTCTCCTGCATATCATTGTGTAGTTCAATCCTTCAGCTACTGAATCATGTTAAAAGTTTTGGCGGCCATTCAGTTTTGGTCGAGGGGTGAGTGGCGAAATTGGCCTTACTTTGCCCTTTGGCAGGCATTTCGCCATCGCGAAGTCCAGAAGGATTGTCAGAATAGAAAGCGAGAAATCGGGTAGATGCCACTCGAAAATTGTCCATTCCTAAAGACTGCATACTTTCAATCACTGTTTTCCATGTGGCTGTGGTTTTAACCAAACGAAGAAGAAAGAGAAAGCAGTGAACGTGAGCTTATTTACTGTTGGCCTTGTTTTTGTAGGGTTTGTGGAACGCGTGGGATCTGGAATCCGGAATGCGGAATTCGCAACCCTTTTCTTTTGTTATTTGTGGAAAATCATTTCGCATTTACAATATTTGTTTGTTTCTCTTTTTTTAAAATTATAGAATATTAAGCAGGAAGTCTCAGAGGTCTTCTTAGGCTGCTCTAGTCACTAGGGGGATTCCCTATCCAAACTGTCTCTGCTGTTGAAAATGTCTCAATTTAAATATCTTACTTCTTAAGAGGAGATATCTGAAATTGCAGTGGTTCATTAAGGGTCGGGCACCGGGCAAATTGACCGGCTGTGAACATGACTTTGCCCGCTGCTTTACATCTCAAAGAACTTCTTTTTAATACAAGGAACGATCAAAAACAGTTTTAAGTTACAATCGTGCCCTTTTCTTGATGAGTCTTATCGAGTGTAAAACATACTTTGCAAGCAATTTCCACTTTATTACACGCGGAATGAAATCCCCTCGTTCGTTACACGTGTTAAAAACAAGAATCGCCCCATAACACATTGCGAAAAGAACTCTGCTTCATAAACGACCACCTGAAATGCATCAGTGTTGCGAGCACGTGAGCATGGCGGCCCACATAACATGACACATGTTATATAACATAACAACATAACATATGTTATATAACACGTTTTGTTATATAACATAACATATTTTATGTTATATAACATAACATGACACATCTTATATAACTTAACATGACATGTTATATAACATAACATGACACATGTTTTTCTTTTATTTGTATATATTTATGTTAAAACACTGGAAAACTTTGCGAGAGGGCTGGGTAAATGCCCTTGACACCCTTTACGACTTATTCTTGATACCTGATAATCTTCTTTGTACGGGCAAGAGCCTAAATAAACACAACACGTTTCCACAGCTACGAAAAATAGAATCTATGACATCGTTCAAATAAACAGGGTTTCTTCAACTGAGAAGTTTATGATCTCACCCAAAGCAAATAAAATGGTATTCACACAATTGCATTGAAATGAAATACAATTTAGATGTCATAACATAACATAACATATTTTATGTTATATAACATAACATGACACGTTATAACATATCTTATGTAATATAACATAACATGACACATGTTATATATTATAACATGACACGTTCTATAACATGACATGTTATATAAAATAAAATATGTTATAACATGACACATAACACATGTTATATAACATATTTTATACCATGACACATGTTATATAACATATGTTAGAACATAACACGACACATGTTATATAACATATTTAATCACATAACATGACACATGTTATATAACATATTTTATGTAACTTGACACATGTTATATAACATAACACGACATGACACATGTTATATAACATTACACATGTTATATAACATCTAACATAACATGACACACGTTATATAACATAACATGACACATGTTCTATAACATTACATGACACATGTTATTTAAGATGACGTCA